GATATCATACTTCTCCTAATCAGGATTGTTGTGTAACGGAATGATGGTAGGATGGTAAGTAACTACATCCTTTTTTGGTATGGCAAAGAAAAAAATACATCTTACCCATTAGATGATTTGCATCTGCAGCTGAATAATAATGGAAGAAAAAGGAGTAGAGGCTTTACCTAATGTACCTACAGCAACAATGGGTTGCCCCACCAAACATCACTAGAGGACTAGGAAGGAAAACGGTGATTTCTCAATCAGGTTCTATTGGCCGTTCTAGCATTAGCATCATGAAGATTCTGGAACAGTGCACGACATGCCCAATCCCAAGGTCTTCCCTTAGCTGGTGAAGCACATGAGCCGGTGTCAAGCAATATCCCCTGTATACTTTGTCCTTGTGTTCTTTCCAGGTATGCATCCATATCAGCTGCATCAGGGAGCTCCATGCACAGTGGTACTACTTCCGAACGTGTAGAACATGCAATTGTATGTAAATCGCCTTGAAATGATGGTTGCTGAATACTGCATTATGCTTGATAGTCGTCTACCTGGACGACTTCAAGCGCTAATAGCTAAATCCTTTTAGATTTTGTAGTTCTTTTCAGTACAGAGATAATTCTGTTTCTTGCTTCCCAATTTTTGGACGACAAAACAGAGAGGCTTTACATTATAAAAGTTACAGTAATAGATTATAAATAAGAAAATAAGGTCCAAGCCAGACTCCAACTTATAAAGGTTTTGTCTTTCACGTAAGGGGATATCATACTTCATCTAATCATGGTTGTCGTGTAACCTAATGATGGTTAGTTACTACATCCATAGAGAAAATGAACATGGAGATATTCTCATGTCCATAGTTTCCAGCGATGAGAATGGGCTACCCGGCATTGCTCGGCTGCTGAAACTGAGCAAACTTTGTGTAGTTATTCATGGTAGAAATTCCTACTTAAATTATCTATTTCGCCAGATTGAGAAACTGCATACATGCCTTCGTCAATGCGCAATCGAACAGCCGTCAGGTGGTGATGAGAGGACTACTAAAAGCAAGGGAAACACACTTAAGTTTGCTATCCACAGTTTCTTCAGAATCTAAATACCAGTGGCATCACAAGTGGGCTTCTCAATTAATCCAAAAGATCCATCAGGTTGCAAAGATAAAAACAATGAACAGAACATATCTGAAAGCGGCCCAAGCATCCTCTACTACTTTCGTTTAGATGTTATTTATCTTGCTCTGTGTTGACATATTTTCTTCTTCCGTAGATGCAAAGCATCCAGGATGTGATCAATCATATGCTGGAGAATGGCATTGAGACCTTACTTCACTGGATAATGGCATTTATATGCGATTCCAGTCCTTTCACAGTGCAGGTGAACTGGAAATTCTATCAAAGACAACTGTCCTTTCTTTAGTGTACATGCATGATATTACATGATTAAACATACCATTTTTAACTTCATTTAGTTGTCTATATTATTCTCTATGTGCTATTACCAACAAAAATAGTGTTACCTCCGTACCAGGCCTTCCAAATATCTTATATTTTGGTACGGAGGTAGTACTTTTAGCCTGCAAAGCGACTTCTATGCCCATTGTGGCAATAATGTGTTTGCACCACTGAAGAGATAACTTATTTTTTTCATTGTAAGAAACACATCATGTTTCTTCCCCATCATTTAAGTGTGTGCCATGTTATCTTTGTTCATGTTGCTGGCTGTACATTTTCAGTATTCTCAGGATATATCTGATTATGATGATGTTCCGTACTGCTCTAGAGCCGACAACTTTTTGGACTGCTCGATGTTTATAACCAATGAGACTACTTTTTTGGTTGTTGGCTGGAGCTATCACTATGACTGAAATTTTCTTTCCACCCAAGTAAATTTATATGGTCATCAAAAACCAACGACAGGTCAACACTTGTCAGCAATTTGCAATTTGTATTACAGTATGCCTAAGCCAATGTTCAGACAATGTTGTTTTAGTTAGGAAATGTCGAAAACATGGTCATGATTTATGTAGATTGGACAGTCCCTTCAAACTGCAGTCTTTGATCTAGAGTGGACAATCTAACTATTTGTTTTCTTTTAGAAAATGACTATATGTTCCATGAATTCACTGCTTATTTTGGCCAGATCAGATTAAACTAGGTCTTGATTTCAAGGTTCAGTTAAGGCAGTTGGTGCAGGTTTGTTTGCTGTAATACTAACTGTGCTATTTAGACAGAGACATTTGCTCTTTCTCATTCCTCGACATTTTCCTTTGCTACCAAGATTTTTCATTCTAGGTTGTGGAAAACGCATGTCGCGTTCCTTCTACAAGTCGTCATGAGCTGGGACATAGAAGAAGAGAGCCGACGAGAAGTCGCAAAGCGGTTCGCTCCGGTGTTGCTGCCAATGGCGCTGCACAAAGTGCAGATTGCAGGCTAGATGCGTACAAGTCCGTCCCTACTTCCACGACGTGGAAGCAAAGGAAATTTAGTCAATTAGATAGTATTTTTGGTTATGAAAGTTATCTTTTGTGTATGCAGTTTTGCCATCATTTTGTAAAAGCTTTGAGTTTTTTATAATGTAATTGTCTTACTAATCACACTTTTAATTGATTTGTGCCAAGGCTAATAGCCAAGTTATGCACAAACTGTTCATGTTTCCTTGATGACTGCTATTGTCAGAAGATTCTTTTCAGCATTTAAGTAATACCGATCCCACTTTCAGTTATGTGTGCAAAGGCCAGTAGCAAAATAATGACTGCTCCCTGCTGGTCGGATATTTCCTACTTCCAGGATATCTCATTATGCTTTCCGCAGCATGCTGATTTGTGAACGAGGACCTACATGATCACCCACCCTGATTTGTTAATTCGTAGTCACATCCAGACACTCAGGTATGCAATATGGTTTTGCTCTTTTGTGTGATTGTGAGCATTCCCCACTGTTTTTTACGATCAGAGAAAAACAAAAGAAGATTTCACTCTACAATGGAGGTCTTTCTCCCAGACATATGTAATTTCACCTCTCTTATTGCCATCTATCTTTGATGGCGACGATGCTCTACCTCAACGCGGTCCAAGTCTATCTCCGCCAGGTACGGTGCCATGAGGAAACACCCAAGGTACATGTGTGTGTGGGCGCTAATATAGATTAACTACAGATATGTACATCGATCCCATCAGTGATCGCCTTGTAAATCAGCAGCAGCCAGCAGTACACGAATTCTCTTATAAATACTAAAAAAACATCCTACTTATTTTAACTCAAAATTAAGCTACTATTGTTCTAAAAATAATAAAATCACTTGACTTCAAAAACAATATTCTGGTTGAATTTAAGGTGACTTGCAAAGTATCATCGTATATTCTTGTCGTTTTCCTTTACCCAAAATTAAGCTACTACTTAATGCTTTAGTCTAATCTTTCAAAGTGGAAGTTTAAAATACTTATTTTAAATAACTTCAACATTAAATGTTGTTGAACATGCCATAAGTTGGTGATGCTTGAACCGAAAACCGTCCATGATGCATGCATGTCTCCGTATAGTGTGCTAATGTATCATCGTATATTCTTGTCGTTTTCCTTTACCCACAATAACACATTATTCCGCGCATGTCTTGAATAAATGGATTATCGCTAGCCTGTTTGTATGTACTTTTTAAATCTATATGCAAGGCATGTTGAAATAGACGAGCTGGAATTGTGGAACAGATTCCTAGATTATATACCACCTTTTCTAGATTAGAAGAGAATGTGATATATTTTTCTCCCGTTCCAACTCCATAGCTCACGAACTTGCTCAGATGGGTAAGGCGTCCTCTTGCACGGGAGTAATTGATAAAAAGAATATATCACATTTTGGGTACCGTTCCCTTTCAAATTTGTGACTAAAACATATTCCCTCCGTTTCGAATTACTTGTTTTGGATTTGTCTAGATACAGAGGTATCTAGCACTAAAATGAGTCTAGATACATCCGTATCTACACAAATTCAAGACAAGTAATTCGGAACGGAGGGAGTACAAATTTAGTGCTAAACTTTTGCTAAAAATACTCCGTCCGAATCCAAAAAAAAGGTGTAGTGGTAAACTAAAACCACGACACTTATTTGGATTGGAGGGAGTACCACCTTTACTTAGTGACCGATTTGGACGATTTAAACGTGTTTATGGCAGGTGAGGCCCACCCGTCAGAGCCGACGTGACAGGAAAGCCAACTCTGTTTATTTTAACCCTTCTATTTGCCGTTATTACAGGTGGGACCCACTTGTCAGTTACGGTATATCTTTTTGACCCTTCTATGGATTGTAAGATGTGCGAATCAGAAGGGGCGCTTCGTAAAAATCACAGGACGCGGTGGGCCCTGCTCGCAGTCCAAGCCCCCCGCTCCTCGCACGGTTCTCTCGGTCTCTCCCCTCCGCCCAAGCGTCGCCGCTCTTCCTCCCGTTTGGCAAGCTCCAAGCGGGTAGGGTTTCACCTCGTCGCCCCCAATCCCCGCCGCCGCAGCCGTCGCCTCCCACCTCCCGCCTCCCTTCCCGCCGCAGCCCCGCCCCGCCCCGCCCGCGCCATCTTCCGCCCACCGCATCCTCCAGCCACATCTGCCGAGCTCCTTCACCAGCAGGTCGCCGCTGCCGGACCCGTCCACCCCGTCTCGCCGCCGCCGGACCCGTCCACCCCGGTCTCCCGTATCGCCGCCGTCCAGATCGTCCTCGGCCTCCAGCTCGCCTCCGCTCAGGTAGACCTCGGCCTACTTTCTTTGATTATTATTGGCCAATTGGAAATAGGCAATGCGTGAGTGACACACTAGCCTGCCTGCCTGCCTGCCTGCCTGCCATGTTAATTCGACAAATTGACGAGTGCCCCGTGATCAACAGAATCAAAGTCATGTGTCAAACCTGTTATAAAACCGCACGCCTGCTGTTAGTACATCCTAATCCCGTAACCGAGGACACAGGCACGAAAGGCTTACTCATTTGTTGTGCTATGTTTTGCAGTTTAGCTGGACTTACAAGCTTGGAAAAAGAATGTTTAAGAATACATTCCAGTCCGGGTTTCTGTCGATTCTCTACAGCCTTGGGTATGCAGCATGGTGGCCTTGTATTGGTCTCACTAGTTACAATGCTTTCTTTTCTTTAGTCTGGATACCTCATGTCTTGTGTTTTTCTCTGTGTTATTTGGCCAGGACCAAGCCGTTGCAGATATGGGACAAGGAAGGTGAGTCAGTAATGCCTGGGGTTCTCTAAATTTCACTTTTTACTCCTATGCTGTAGAATGCAGATACTTTTCCCCTGGCAACCTAAAGCATTATTTGCTTCTTACAGCGAAGGCAGGTCTGGTATAGTTAACTCTGCAAGCTGTTAGTCTTTTGATGAATATTGTGTTTAGGGTGGACTGTTCTGCCTCTCTGCATGCTAACAACCTATTTGAGACCTGAGCCTAATATATTACTATGGTAATGATGTGGGAGTAGCTATGGGTAACATAATTCTAATAGTTTATATTGGGCAGTTAAGGACAGTGGACTTACTTTCGAGTATGTATGTACATGTGCTTCAGCCTTTTACTTAGCTTGTCCTGCATGAAAGTCAGGTTTAGTTACTTAATACCTCGTCTGCTTTGCAGTTGTTGATGGGCACATTAAAAGACCCCAGGATGAAGATATTAAGTCTAACGTACTTGAAATTGTTGGAACAAATGTGCAATCAACATACATCACTTGCCCAGCTGACCCTGCTGCCACTCTTGGAATTAAACTTCCATTTCTTGCCCTTGTTGTGAAGAATCTTAAAAAATACTTCACATTTGAGGTCCAAGTTTTGGATGACAAGAATGTTCGCCGACGATTCCGAGCATCAAATTTTCAAGTCTGTAAGAGCTATGGTTCCATTTAGAAGTAAATTCTGTGCGGTGCTTAACTGCTTATTGCTTATCTATTACTCCCTCCGTCCCACAATGTGAGACGCTTTTGCAAGGTATGTTAGCTTGCAAAAACATCTTATATTGTGAGACAGAGGGAGTAGATTTGGAAGTGTTCCTTCACCGTGCCTTTCCTCATGTTCTTTTGATTTGTATTTGTCAATTTAATCGTTATCAAATGCATTTTACTGTTAAATCCATTGGTTGAGCTTTCACTGTATTAGTATTAATAACTGCTACCTACAATATATCAATTAGATTTGTAAGTGTTCCTTCACTGTGCCTCTCCTCATGTTCTTTTGATTTATATCTGTTAATTTAAGCGTTATCAAGTGCATTTTACTGTTAAATCCATTGGTTGAGCTTTCATCATATTGGTATTAATAACTGCTACCTACAATATTCTCATGCATACCTTGAAGTAGTATGATTTCTGCTAACTTTGCAAACTAGATTATTTCTTTGAGCAATGCCAATATGGCATCAACCCGTGCAGAAGTTGTTTATCTCAATTTTGCCCTTGGAATCAAGAAAGATAATTTACGCTCCCACTTGAACTCGTCAGCTTCATACTCAGATAAACCTCAGTTCATTATAGTTCTCTTCTGTTAATGCTAATCTCCAATTGCCCCTTTCTGAAGTTCATACTCAGACGAACTCAGATGTGTATATGCATTTTTGTTAATTTTAACTTCTGTGTATGATATGGTTGTGACAATTTGTATTGTGATGTGCTTGATTCGTGCTAGAAAGTGTGTGGTGTTTGATGTGGTTTCTTTTCCAATGTAGATTTATGTCTTCCAGGCATGCCTGATTTTTAGCAATGTTTATTTTAAATTTGAAATCGCATAGGTCACGGGTGTCTACGTTTTGTTCATGCAACCACCGTATACTAACTTGTAGTGACATACATTCTTTGTGCAGTCCGTCACAAGGGTAAAGCCATACATCTGCACGATGCCGTTGAAGCTTGATGATGGCTGGAACAACATCCAGCTGAATCTCACCGACCTGACAAAAAGAGCCTATGGCACAAACTATGTCGAGACGCTGCGAGTGCAAGTCCACGCAAACTGCCGGCTCCGCAGGGTCTACTTCGCCGACCGCCTCTACTCGGAGGAGGAGCTGCCGGCGGAGTTCAAGCTCTACCTTCCAATTCAGGTGAGTACTGTGCAATGTCTGCACCCTTCTGTTATAGAACACCACTACTTGCTCATACATTCCTTCCTTTTACATGAGCTTCAGAAATCATAGAGCTCAGACCAAGATGGATGGTTGGGAGTCATGACCTCCCCAGGAGCCAAGGCGACTATCGACGCATGTCACCTCGACGTCCGTCAGCGTGTAAACTATGCGTAAAGTATCAGAATGCTTAATGGATGTATCTGGATGTACGCTAATTGTTGTATGGATAACCTGTGTAGAACTGTTGCTAATTGAACCCCCTCCACTGCTGTAGCTGCCGGTCCAAATGCATCGATAATATAGCATGGCCACCCTCAGTTTACTGCACCTACGAGGACGCCATGATCATGTTGATTCGGACCTCAACAAGATATTATAACAAAGATAAATAAATACTCTTTACTCAACATGAATATTGAATGGGGCACAACTCACTGGAACGGCTGATGGCCCACAAAATAAATGGTGAAGAGCTATGAACCGTAGGCCCTCGGAGGTGCTGGAAATCGAAGCAGTCAACACTCCAACAGTAGATACAGGAGGTGTTTTTTTTTTTGAGAAAGCTTCAATTCATCAAAAACAAAAAGGATACAGAATACATGGAATGCCGATTTTCGATAGGGCCTGGGCCAGCATCTCCGTGGCCCACCTGCGCGGCTGCATAGGAGAGATACGCTCGGTACGCTGCTGTACGGACACTCTCGAGGTCGAGCCCCTTCTTCTCCGAGAAATTGGATCTTTTGCCCCACTTTACTTCTCCATAAGATCATTTGCCCCCCCCCCCCTAAGAGGCTATCGGGTGGGGCCCGGGGCCACTGTCATTGAGACAATCACAGGGCAAATCATCCAATCCCTCCTTCTCCTCCTCTCCCTCGCTGTGCCAGCCATCGATCTGCATCGCCCCCAAATCCCTCGTTGGAGTGCACCCCGTCCGCTGCCGTGGCTCTCCACGGACATGGGGCCGGTTTCTCCACCTCCCGCCCAACCTCGTCGCGCAACCATCGACGTCGGTGAGCAGGGGAGGCGGCCACCATGAGAGGAGGAGGAGGAGGAGGAGGAGGAGAAGGAGGAGCATTAGGGTTGCGCGTCGGCACGTCCGTGCGGAAGCGAAGGGCCGAAGGGAGCGCGCGCCGGAGCGGCAGGGGACGCCAGTCGGCTCTGTTACGGGTAAGTCGACGGATACTGCTGCATCTGTTTAGTCCCACATCGCCGATCTACAAGACTTTGCACCGATTTAAAAGTGTTTCCCTCAGCCAGGCTATCAGCAAGTAGTAGTAGAGTAGAA